AATAGACCTTGACATTTGGGAGTTGTAGTTGCTGGGATTTCTAGTTTACCTACAATCAAAGAGCATTCTGAATCCCTCCAACAATAGAATTAGGCCAAACTTCCCACACAGAACCTTATGACCATCAGAAAATACTGTGTTTTCTGAGGGTCTTTGGCGACCCCCCTGACACCCCCTTGCAACCCCCACACAGGGATCCTTATCCCCAGGTTGAGAAACGCTGCTCTAAAGGCACCAGATCCCATCTGATCTGGAACACAGCAAGATCTGCCCTGGTTGGTACTTGGATGAGAGACCACCAAATAACAACCTGTGCTGTCAGTTATATTTTAGGGAAAAGAACTGGCAAAATCATCTCTGAGTATTCCTTGCCTAAGAAAACCCTAGGACATTTATGAGCTTGCCATAAGTCTTCAGGTGACACTTGAAGGCCCATACAGACACAAAGTAAAGGTGCAAGATCCGGACTCTCATTGGCACACATTGCAGCTAGTGAAGGATGAAAGGTCATTTCCCAAAAACATCTGGAAGGTAATGTACTCCAAATCATGATTTTATGCAAAGTAGCCTCCAAAGTTAAGCCATGTGTTGGGTTGCAAAGTGAGCACTGCTTAGTTTTATGACAGTAGAACTTACAATGAATCCAGATGAATTTGGATCATTAGTCATGTGTGAAAGTCTCATCCAAGATTGAATAAACATTTTTTTTCTTAGCTGCTACATGGGACTGGAGGGAAAAAAATGACAAATTATCAAGCAACTAGTAACCTACAACTAGGAGGCTTTGCGAATCCTAATGGATCACAACACAGGGTACATCTATACTGCCGAATTCATGAAATGTGAGACCACGGTGACTACTATGGCTTAGTGCTATGGAATTATGGAAGTAGTGCATTATGAGACTAGAAAATTAACATAATAATGACTCAGACAGTCCCTGGAATATGATTTGGATCATGTGATTTTAATTGATGTTTTAATGCTACATTTTTAATGAGGTTGATTTTAATGTTTTTGTTTATTTACCAATGTATTAATATATAAATTGTGGCCTTTGTATGGCTACCATGAGTCTCCTTCGGGTTGAGAAGAGTGGGATATAAATGTGGTAAATAAATAAATAAATAAATAATAGTTTTACAAGGTCTTCTCCATCAAGGAGCGCTTGTGCTTCATCAAACTACAAATCCTAGGATTCTATAGCACTGAGCTGTAGAATTAATGCAGTTCGATACTTTACCTACCATGGCTCAATGCTTTGGAGTCCTGAGAGTTGTATTTTTGTGAGGCATCAGCACTCTTTAGCAGAGAAGGCTAAAGAGTTTGTACAATTACTACACCCAGGAGTCCATAGCATTGGGCCACTGCAGTCAAAGTAGTGTCAAACTATATTGATTTGACAGTGTAGGTGCACCATAAGTGTGAATGATTTGCAATGTCTCCCTCTTCACAATGCAAGCCTTTGAAACGTACATTTCTTCATCCGGTGAAGACTTTTATTAAGAAAAATATGCAGAGGAGCTAGGGAAAGGGGAAGAGAAATGCCATTATAAACATCAATGTATTGTCGAAAGCTTTCATGGCCATAATTTCTGGGTTTTGTAAGTTTTTCAGGCTGTATGACCATGTTCCAGAAGCATTTTCTCCTGACATCTTGCCTGCAACTATAAGAGGCATCCTCAGGCCACACAACTTCTGAGGATGCCTGCCATAGATGCAGGTGAAACATCAGGAGAGAATGCTTCTGGAACATGGCCATATAGCTCAGAAAACTCACAACAACCCAGTTATAAAAATCATTTTTAAAATGTTACCTTGGATTCTATTTTGAAAACTTTAAATGTGTTATTTAAATATTGTGGAAAATGAATTGTCGAAGGCTTTCATGGCCGGAATAACTGGGTTGCTGTAGGTTTTTCTGGCTATATGGCCATGTTCTAGAAGCATTCTCTCTTAACATTTCGCCTGCCATAGATGCAGATGAAATGTCAGGAGAGAACGCTTCTAGAACATGGCCATATAGCCCGAAAAATCTACAAAAGCCCATTCTGCAAAATTTCTGAGATGAAGGAAGGAGAGACAGTGACAAGAGACTTTATGTTTAGAAAGGATACAACCATGCCAAATCTATAGAGAAATGTATTATTGGATATTTCTCTCTCTCTCTTTCTCATTCTGTCTTTCTCTTTCTCTCTTGCATCCCTTGCCAGAAAAAGTGAAGTGAGAACAGTGAGTGTGAAGAGGTAAACATTAGTTGCAAATGTTCCGCCTCGCTGTCAACCCACTGAATTCTTGACTCTCTCTGCAGCCAAAAAAGAAAAAAAATAGCATGAAGATCTTTTTTTGACTCACCCACTTCCCTCACTAGTATACACATATTTAGACATGCTTAGCGTGCGACAGTGGTTTAAATACTAGACTAAGGATGCATCTACATTGTGGAATTAACGTAGTTCGGCATCACTTCAATTGCCATGGCTCAATGATATGGAATCCTGGGAGGTCATAACATTCTCTACCAAAGAGTGCTGGTCCCTCACTTAACTACAACTCCCACTATTCAATAGTATGCATTTGTTGGTGTTGAAGTAATGTCAAGCTGTATTAAGTCTACAGTATAGATGTAAACTGAGGGTGTAGTATAGCAACAGTAGGAGGCAGAATGTAGAAGAGTAAAGGTAAAGGTTTCCCCTTGACATTAAATCTAGTCGTGTCCAACTCCATTTCTAAGAAAAAGGGCCAGCATTGTTCATAGACACTTCCAAGGTCATATGGCCGGCATGACTGCATGGCACGAATTTACCTTCCCTCAAAAGCTGTACCTATTCTACTCACATTTGATTGTTTTTGAACTGCTAGGTTGGCAGAAGCTGGGGCTAAGAACGGGAGCTCACCCCATCCCACAGATTTGAACCGTTGACCCTCTGGTCTGCAAGTTCAGCAGCGTTACCTTTTTACTTACTTTGAAAGTAGTTGTTATCCTCTAGAATCTTTGTTTTTGTGACAATTGATGAGACAACTGGTTGAGACTCGATGAGATATTTATTGAAAAATTATTGCAAAATGTGCAGCAGAAAGTCCTGCAAAAACGAAGTTGTCGCAGTTTAGTAAACTTTTTCTATGGGTTGTTGTGAGTTTTCCGGGCTGTATGGCCATGTTTCAGAAGCATTCTCTCCTGACATTTTGCCTGCATCTATGGCAAGCATCCTCGGAAGTTGTGACCTCACAACCTGAGGATGTGTGCCATAGATGCATGCAAAACGTCAGGAGAGAATGCTTCTGGAACATGGCCATACAGCCTGGAAAACTGACAACAACCCAGTGATTCTGGCCATGAAAGCTTTCGACAATACATTAAATGTTTTCTATGGGTTTTTTTTTTGATAGAACCAATTAGGAAATGTTATTTACCATTGACTCTGGAATAAAAAATGTGTTGTGTTTAATAGTGTTATTGCTATGCTGTCATTTTTTTTCTTTGAATATATATTTATTTGTTGTATCAGAAGCAAACTAAGGGAACAGTTGTAATATATTAAAAAACACAAAGTTTTAAAACTTGGCATTATATTAAATGTATTTTCTGCCTTGATATTCTGGGTTATATGGTTGTGTGGAAGGGCCCTGGGTCTGAACTCAGATAATCCAGTTCAAAGCAGCTATTGTGGGATTTCTTGCCTTGATATTCTGGGATATAGAGCTGTGTGGAAGGGCCTTGCGTATGGACTCAGATAACCCAGTTCAAAGCAGATAATGTGGGATTTTCTGCCTTGATATTCTGGGATATACTTACTTACTTACTTACTTAGGCAATCCCTCATTGATTGAGTAAGATTGTCTTTCAGGCTTGTTGTACTGGTGGTGGGTACATAGGTGACTGTGGAGCTCTATTCTTGACATGCATGTTCTCCTGCAGTGAGAGCATCGGTTTCCAGGTGGGAGGTTGTTCCAGTCAGGGTTGGCTTGACGTGCCTTTTGCTTGGCACGTCTCTCTCTTTCACCCTCCATTCATGCCTCTTCAAATTCTACAGCACTGCTGGTCACAGCTGACCTCTAGCTTGGGCGCTTCCCAATTCTCTGTGTCTATGCCACAGTTTTTAAGGTTGGCTTTGAGCCCATCTTTAAATCTCTTTTCCTGTCCTCCAACATTCTGTTTTCTGTTCTTGAGTTTGGAGCAGAGCAACTGCTTTGGGAGACGGTGGTCAGGCATTCAGACAACGTCGCTGGTCCAGCAGAGCTGATGGCAGAGGACCATCACTTCAATGCTGGTGGTCTTTGCTTCTTCCAGTTAAAAGCAGATATTGTGTGATTTCCTGCCTTGATATTTTCTGCCTTGAAGACATATAGACAAGCTGGAATGTGTCCAGAGGAAGGTGACTAAAGTGATCAAGGGTCTGGAGAACAAGCCCTATGAGGAGCGGCTTAAGGAGCTGGGCATGTTTAGCCTGAAGAAGAGAAGGCTGAGAGGAGATATGATAGCCATGTATAAATATGTGAGAGGCAGCCACAGGGAGGAGGGAGCAAGCTTGTTTTCTGCTTCCTTGGAGACTAGGACGCGGAGCAATGGCTTCAAACTACAAGAGAGGAGATTCCATCTGAACATGAGGAAGAACTTCCTGACTGTGAGAGCCGTTCAGCAGTGGAACTCTCTGCCCCGGAGTGTGGTGGAGGCTCCTTCTTTGGAAGCTTTTAAACAGAGGCTGGATGGCCATCTGTCAGGGGTGATTTGAATGCAACGTTCCTGCTTCTTGGCAGGGGGTTGGACTGGATGGCCCATGAGGTCTCTTCCAACTCTAGGATTCTATGATATTCTGGGTTGTGTGGAAGGGCTCTTGGAGTGCCTCTGAAAAAGGAACTACTTGGGAGCTGTGCCCACAACAAAAACAAACATGGTACAGCAGGTCCTCCAGATGGCCCCGCCCACTTTCTGCATGGCCCCGCCCACTCTCGCCTCATTGGCCAGCTGGCTTCCAAGGCAGAATTTAAAAAGGGGAGCTGGCCGGGGAGTCTCCTAAGCGTGGCATCCCGAGGGAAAGGGGAAGATCCAAGAGGCGAGCTGATCCCTTCTCCTCCTCCTTCGGACCATGCAGGCCTCCCGGGCTGTTTGCTCGCTCTGCCTCTTCTTCCAAGCCCTCCTGCCTTCCGGGCGAGGCTGGCAAGTGCTGAAAAACGACGCCACGGAGCTCGTCCCGGACTTCCAGGAGAATACGGAGGAGCCCACCTATGCCCAGCAGCAGGACAACGAGACCATGAACAACCGGGCGCAGCAAGGCGAGAGGATCCCCCAGGTTTCCCTGAACAGGATGGGTAAGAGAAGAGGGAGGCCTCTTCTCCCTTCATGGTCTCTTTCCCCCTTCTTTGTGAAGACCACAGCTCAGGCATGGCCAACTTGAGCCCTCCAGGGGTTTTGGATTTCAACTCCCATCATTCCTAACAGCCTCAGGCCCTTTCCTTTCCCCTCAGCCGCTTAAGCGGGGGGGGAAAGGAAAGGGCCTGAGGCTGTTAGGAATGGTGGGAGTTGAAGTCCAAAACTCCTGGAGGGCTCAAGTTGGCCCAAGCTTGCTATAGCTCACAATCCCCCAATTTGGTGCCTAGTCTCCCCTCTTCCTCTTTTCCCAGGTGTGTGATAAGCACCCTGGTTAGGGATTGGATTTGTTTTCTTCAGCACTCAGATGAGTTTGCTTTTGGAACTATAATGCCCACCATTCCCCTTACAATGAAGTCAGAATCATAGAGATCTCATGGGCCATCCAGTCCAACCCCCTGCCAAGAAGCAGGAACATTGCATTCAAAGCACCCCCAACAGATGGCCATCAAGCCTCTATTTAAAAGCTTCCAAAGAAGGAGTCTCCACCACACTCCAGGGCAGAGAGTTCCACTGCTGAACAGCTCTCACAGTCAGGAAGTTCTTCCTAATGTTCAAGTGGAATCTCCTTTCTCTAATTTGAATCCACTGCACCAAGTCCTAGTTTCCAGGGCAGTGCCTTGGTTAGACCACACCTGGAATATTGTGTTCTGGGCACCACAATTGAAGGGAGATGTTGACAAGCTGGAATGTGTCCAGAGGAGGGCGACTAAAATGATCAAGGGTCTGGAGAACAAGCCCTATGAGGAGCGGCTTAAGGAGCTGGGCATGTTTAGCCTGAAGAAGAGAAGGCTGAGAGGAGACATGATAGCCATGTATAAATATGTGAGGAGAAGTCATAGGGAGGAGGGAGCAAGCTTGTTTTCTGCTGCCCTGGAGACTAGGACGCGGAACAATGGCTTCAAACTACAAGAAAGGAGATTCCACCTGAACATTAGGAAGAACTTCCTGACTGTGAGAGCTGTTCAGCAGTGGAACTCTCTGCCGGAGTGTGGTGGAGGCTCCTTCTTTGGAGGCTTTTAAACAGAGGCTGGATGGCCATCTGTTGGGAGTGCTTTGAATGCAATTTTCCTGCTTCTTGGCAAGGGGTTGGACTGGATGGCCCATGAGGTCTCTTCCAACTCTATGATTCCAAGATTCCCAACCTTTTTTTTTTTTTTAACAGGGACCACTTTGACCAGGGATCACTTATTTATTTATTTATTTATTTATTTAAAACTTTTATATTCCTCTCTTCTCCCCCAGAAGGGGACTCAGGGCGGAGCACAACATATAAATGGTGAACATCCAATGCCAAAACATACTAGACCATACACATACAAAAACATTAAAATCACTTGTCTTGATGTTAAAATCCTCTATTTAAAACTGTCTCAAACAACCATATCGAATTTGGTTGGCATACTAAGAGTTCCTATCACTGCTTCATTGCACAGCCCCAAAGGCTCAGTCCCACAGCCACCTTTTTATCATCCTTCTAAAGGAGAAGAGGGAGGGGGCTGACCTAATCTTATTAGGAAAGGAGTTCCATAGCCGAGGGGCAATCACTGAGAAGGCCCTCTCTCTCGCCCCTCCCAGTCGTACCTGAGAAAGTGGCGGGGCGGAGAGCAGGGCCTTCCCAGAAGATCGTAATCTCCACGATGGTTCATAGAGGGAGATGCATTTGGTCAAGTGGTCCTGGTCAAAGTGGTCTCTGGTCAAGCTGCAAAACTTGCTGACCAAAAAGTTAAACTGCTAAGCTTGACCACTTTGACTAGGAACCACTTTGACCAGGAACCACTCTCCAACATTACTACCAAAATGGTTACGAATCAGTTTTTGGTCAACTTTAGATTCAGTTTGGTTATTTGGGGTGCTGAATCAGAAATTTGCATTGGATAGACCACATCAGCTGTAGTGTCTGATACAGAACACATGCCATCCGGTAGTCGCCATCTGCTCGCCCACAGAAAACAATATTTAATCTAGATCTGATGTGGTAGTATTAATCTTTCGTGGGTAGTCAGCCTCTCCCTTTCCAACATCCCCATTGCCTCGGCACTATAAGAGGGTTTTGTGAGACCACTCACTCTCATTGCTGTGTGGTTTTGAGGCAATGGTGAGGCTATGGACCATATTTTCATTTTTGCTTACCACTGGTAGTCCATGAACCACAGGTTGGGAAGCACTGCTCCAGTGCAGCAGAAAACAAGCCTTCTCCCTCTTTCTTATGACATCCTTTCACATATGTATACATGGCGAACATACTACACCTTCCAGAATTTTGAAACTACAGCTTCCAAAATTCCCCTTATATTGAGCAAGATAAGTCAGAGGTAGGCTGCTTTAATTCTAGCCTTCTTCCTCTTTTCTCCAGTGGGTAATGGACACCTAGTTAGGTTCTGAATGTATTTTATTCAGTGCTCAGACAAGTTTCCTTTTGAGACTACAGACCCCAAACTTACCCTTACATTAAACAAGGTGAGAAGTATTATGCCATCGCCCTATCCAGTCCTCCCTCTTCATGGGGCGTGTGATGGTCACCTTGTTGGATTCAGTTCTGTTTATTCAAAACTCAAATGAGAGTGTTTTTGAGACTGCAGCTCCCATAATTCCCCTTATATTGAACAAGATAGATAAAGAGGGGGATTATGGGAACTGTAGCCTCAAAATGAGAGGAATCTGACTTCTAAATAAAACAAATTTGATGCCCAACCTGTTGAATTAATGCAATTTGGCACTACTTAAACAGTCATGGCTCAAGTAGGGGATTTATTTATTTATTTATCATGTCAGGACCAAACCAAACAGTTGTTTAGCTTTAAAAAACCCCACAAAGTTTGCAAACTTGGCATTCTATTAAATGTCCCTTGATGAGTAGTTGGCCACTTGGAGTGCCTCTGGTGTTGCTATAAGAAGATCCTCCATTGTGTATGTGGCAGGACTCAGACTGCATTATAGTAGATAGTCTCGCATGTCGTGGATTCCACTTTGTAGCCCCATTTCTTAAGGTTGGCTCTGCATCTCGTGGTGCCCGACTGCAGTCTGTTCAATGCCTTCCAGGTTGCCCAGTTTTCTGTGTTCCCAGGAGAGAGTCTCTCATTTGGTATCAGCCATTGATTGAGGTTCTGGGTTTTAGCCTGCCACATTTGGACTCTCGCTTGCTGAGCAAACCAAACAGTTATATTGCATTAAAAAAAACCCCATAAAGTTTGCAAACTTGGCAACCTAGAAGATGTAGTTTGGTGACACACCAGCACTATTAGGCAGAGAAGGCCAAAGACTTTACAAAATTACAGCTGTCAGGATTCCATTGCATTCAGCCATAACAGTTAAAGTGGGGTCAAACTGTATTAATTCTGCAGTGTAAATGCACCCTTAGGCCCCTTCCACACAGCTGAATAAAATCCCACATTATCTGCTTTGAGCTGGAACATATGGCAGTGTGGACTCAGATAACCCAGTTAAAAGCAGATATTGTAAGACTTTCCGCCTTGATATTCTGGGTTATATAGCTGTGTGGAAGGGGCCTTAGTCTTTCCTTTCTCTCTTAGGTGTGAGATTGGAACCTGGTTAGGTATTACATTTGTTTTATTCAGCACTCCCAGGAGTTTGTTTTTGAGTCTACCACTCCCAGAATCTCCCAGCCAAGGTGTGGCTATGGTGGCTGGAGTATACTGATTGTTTGAATTCACAAAGCAAACTTGTCCAAGCTGCGGTTTTGCTAGCCAGTTACATTTGCCTCAGAACACTTGAACAGTGCTCATCCTCACCTTTACTATCACAACAACAGTGTGAGATAGATCAAAGTGAGATAAAAACACTGGTTCAAGGTCATCTAGTGAGCTTCACGTTGAGTAGGGGCTTGAATTTAGTCAAGCTCAAGTCCCAGTTCAACACTTTAAGCACTGTATTACATTGTATAGTCTGAACACAAGAAATTATTGGAAAGGAAAGGGACTTTTTTAGCTGTAGTTTAGAACATGCCTAAAAGATCTCCCTAAACCCATTCAGATGATCAGTCCAAGCAGATCAATGTTTCCCGCATTGGTCTTCCTACCAGAAGGCAATGAATCTGTTCCAGGTTCACTGGAGTTATCCAAGGTCCTGAAACCTATTGCTGAGATGGGTTCAACATTGGGGGCTTCTTTTAAAGTTTGGACTAGACACTATCCTTGTTTCCAGATATTCATTGGTAGTGGTGATTCTGGAATGTATCTCCAGCAGATATGGAGAGCATACTGTACTGAATGTGAACAGCCCCACACCCTCCAGATGGGTGAGGGTGCAGCTCCCATCATCCTCATGTGAAGCCTTTTTGTGTAAAGGCATAAATGATAGCCTTCTTTGAGAATAGACATCTGTATTATCTGATGGTAGAAATCACAGGAGAAGGAACACTCAACATACTTAGCAAGCTGTCTCTTATTAGTACTCTGCTTTGTGTTTTGTCACATGGACAAGTTGAGGGCTTGTTGGAAAGGCACTTAAACTTCCTGAAATTAATTTCCACAATGGTTTGGAATGTTCCTTATCAGGACCATATTGTGGCTTCCTTCCATGGCCGTTTTCTGTTTAGAGATAAACAAATGTGTTTCTTAGTTTGGGTTCTAGCCAGCCAGAAGCCTTTCTGCCACCAGAACTTTAGTTTTGACCTTTAATATGAAGAGACAAGAGCTTTAGCACTTTTAGAAGGCAACATCATAAGTGTTAAATCACATTTGGGTGTATAGGTGGCCATCCATGACCCTCTAAGCTTCTCCAAGCACGTCTGGTAGACTTGCAGCATGACTAGAACTTGACTGCCTATATCTGCCATGTCCATGGTTGGAAACAAAATAATGTAATTATTCCAGCAATTAGTCATCCTATACTATAGTGAACTCCTTCTCCAAATGCAGATTAGTATCCCAAAATGATGCCATCTATTCCATAAATAGTAAGGAAGTGTTACCATAAGAGGAGTGTGTGTGTATGAAAATATGTGTAAAAGTAGGTCAAGACAAGATTAAACATCCTCAATAGGTATCAAATGCTGACAGTTGACAGAAAAGAGAAGGAGATGGGATGGAGTATCCTGAAAAATTGCATGTCTGACTATTTGAATTCTGGATTTTTGTTGATTCAGCTCCACACTATGGCAAGTTTGTTGAAGTCCCACTTTTATCACTGAGAGGGAAACACTATAACTGAACTATGATTTTTGTGGGTATACATTTGGCAAGTGTCTTGTGTACCTTAAGAACAAGCTTAATGTTATTTAGTTCATTATAATCTGTGTGCATTGATGGTGTTATTTCTAAGGCCGTACAGTTGATTAATAATTTAGATCAGGCAAAGGTAAACTTCAGCCCTCCAGGTATTTTGGACTTCAACTCCCACAATTCCTAACATCCTACCAGCTGTAGGATGTTACCGATGGTGCAATGGGTTATACCCTTGTGCCCGCAGGACCTCTGACCAAAAGGTTGGCAGTTTGAATCCGGGGATTGGAGTGAGCTCCCATCTGTCGGCTCTAGTTCCCCATGTGGGGACATGAGAAAAGTCTCCCACAGAATGGTAACACATCCGGGTGTCCCTGGGCAACGTCCTTGCAGATGGCCAATTTGTCTCACACCAGAAGCGAGCAGTTTCTCAAGCTGCTTCTGACACAAGAAAAAGACTGGCTGTTAGGAATTGTGGGAACTGATGTCCAAAACACCCGTAGGGCCGAAGTTTGCCCATGCCTGCTTTAGATACAAGATTACTCTGATGCCAATGTGTTCATAGTGGCAAATGTCTTATCTTGCAGAACCGTTGGAATTCAGCTGCCGGGAAGTGTATTCCACCCGCTATGTCACTGAAGGCCTGTGCCGCAGCGTCAAGCCAATCAGGGAGCTGATATGTTCTGGCCAATGCCTCCCTGCCCATCTTCTCCCGAATTCAATTGGCAAAGGCAAATGGTGGCGGCAGAATGCCCTGGATTACCGCTGCATTCCTGCCCACAGTCGCTCCCAGCGCATCCAGCTTGCCTGCCCCAATGAGGACATGCGGACAATCAAGATCCGGAGCATCACCGCTTGCAAGTGCAAACGGTACACGCGCTACCACAACCGTTCCCAGCTCAAGGACTTCAGCAAAGAGACTGCCCGGTCTCAAAAGAACAAAAAGCTACGCTTCTCCAGAACCAGGGGCAGTAAGGCCCATCAGCCAGAGCTTGAGAACTCCTACTAGTGGAGGATTGGTTTGAATGAAGCCCAGCCAAGATGTGGAGAGAATTTATTTTTGTCTGATTGCCATGGGACTGATTGCGAGGATGGGTGGCCATAGCCACCACAATAGCTATCTTGTGCCAAAAGGGAAGTCAGATCTGATATAGCCAAAAGCTATCAGACTCTCCTTGAGTTATCCAGGGAGAGAGAAAGATGGAGAGTCAGGAGGAGAAAGAAAGAGTGGAATTGGATCAGAGAAAGAAGCTGTTGTCAGCCTGAAAGAGGAAAGTTATTCACAGGTTAGGAAAGGTCGATTGAATCATAAGCTAAAGAAAGGCCTTCCGTTCTCCAAGTTTTCCTTGTCTTTCCTTGACTTGGCCAAGGATTGGCATCTCTCTGCAGAAGCAAGCATACGTCAGTTTAGGAAAATGTGATATTTCAAAGGACATGTGTTCAACTGCGTGCATCGCCATTGCTGCCTTTTATGCATTCGTCTCTCTTGAGCTGTCTATAAATCAGTGCATGGAAAAGCATACTTTTTTGGACTATAACTTAGAGAATACTCCAGCCAGGATAGCCATGTTGGCTGGGGCATTCTGGCAGTTATAGTCCAGATTTTGCCAATGACTTAATTTTGGTATTCATGCATTGACTCTTGCTGTTCTGCTGTATTATGCTTGAGCTATATGCAAGTTGGCTTCCTCTTCTTGGGGAAAGGCTATGCAATGTGTCAACTGTGGAAGTAAAGAGGGGTTTTTTTTGTAATCCAGCTATAATATATAGAGCCATATTGTCCAGATGTTTAGTACAAATGCATATACATTTTCTAATAGCATTTTTGGGGCATGTCATATCTGGAAACAAATCTTGAAAAGTCTTTGTTAGAAACAGTAAAGGACATGCAGGTTTACTGAGTACCAAATGAATAGCACAACAATGAGATGAGTATATAGGTGTATATTTCCTGGCATTGGTGTGAGAGTGAAAGTACGTGCAGGGCGGATAAGAAGGAATGACATTATAGGGTACCTGCCAGAGTCCATGGATTAGCAGGGTGCTCAATGCTGATATTTTCCCTTTCATGTCATAGGAAATGAACAAGTCAAATTACTGGTTCATTTTAGGGATGGAATTAATATTTGAAAAGCATTTGAACAAAGAAAAATGGTTTCCCAGCTATTGGGAAACATTGATATTGCTGTATTGTCAAAGGCTTTAATGGCCAGAATCACTGGGTTGTTGTAGGTTTTTCAGAATGTATGGCCATATTCTAGAAGCATTCTCTCCTGAAGTTTCTTCTGCATCTATGGCAGGCATCCTCAAAGGTTATGAGGTCTGATCTCACAACCTCAGAGGATGCCTGCCATAGATGCAGGTGAAACGTCAGGAGAGAATGCTTCCAGAACATGGCCATACAGCCCAAAAAACCTACAACAACCCATTGCTGTTTGGGATTTATTCTGCATGAAAAATATGTTTGGGATTTTTGTCACATCAGATTGTATTTTATGTGTAGGATACAGGGGTCGTACTGTATAAAGTCTCCTATTATAATTCCAGGAATCACTAGTTCTACTATTACCCTTTCTCTTCACCTCTCTTCTTTCTTTCTCAGTTCCACACTTCTTTTTCTTCATCTCCCTCTATCTACACTCTTTTCTGAAAAGACCTAGTCCACAAATTGCAAAATATTTGGGGGGTGGGGATAGGAACAGTGAAATTACCAGAAAGGGACCAAAATTTCTTGGTTTGAGAAAAACAGGTTTCTGGATACAATCCTGATGAACTGGCTATACAGAAATGGACTGTATCAGGGTTAGTTTTTAATGCATGCAGTGTTTACCAAGAGCTGCCTCCATACTTACCTATGTTGTCATCTGAACATTAATTTGATGTCAGCATTTTTTTAAATGTTTAGTTTGATATCAATCTAATATCATGCAGTAGTGTATGGCTTATTTGTTTTGGTTTATCTTTTTATATTTTTTATGTTTACAGTAGAGTCTTGCTTATCCAACATGAACAGGCCAGCAAATGTTGGATAAGTAAAAATGATGGATAATAAGGAGGGATGAAGTAAAAGCCTATTAAACGTCAAATTACCTTATAATTTTACAAATTAAGCACCAAAACATCATGTTTTACAACAAACCAACAGAAAAAGCAGTTCAATACATGGTAACATTGTGTAGAAATTACTGTATTTGTGACATTAGCACCCAAACATTGCAGTGTATTGAAACTGCTGTGGACCTGGGCGGGAGGCAAACTATGTTGGATAATACAGAATGTTGGATGAGCAAAAGTTGGATAAACAAGACTCTACTGTATCTGTTTCAGAGAGTTGAAATGTTTTTATACCCTTACGTATCCCTTTCTAAAGCACATTCATTTTTTCCAAGTGCTGTGTAACAGCAAATAATACTAAATTATTATTTATTTCCATTGTGATGTTGTTTTGATCTCTATAAATGTTTGTGAACAAGGGATTATTAGATTATTGTCCAGAAGTCAATTTTATTGCATTCAGTAGACCTTACTCCCTGTATGTTGGAACCAGACTTAGTCATGATAAACAAAGTCATCTCTATGGAATCAATATATGGATCCTTCAGATGTTGTGAGACTACAACTCCCATCACTCCTAGCTAGCATAACCATCTAAAAGACCATGCATTACCTAGCCCCTGGTCTAAATTATTATGACTAAGAAGGCATTTGGATCACACAGTTATCAATATTTCATCCCATTTTAATTATCAGGGTCCTATCCAAAAGAATCTTGGATTTTGTAGTTTGATGAGGCACTATGAATTATTTACTAAGGAATGATATGCTCTCTAGTGAGTACAGCATCAGATCTCTCTAGAAAGGAATTCAGAGTACCACATCAAACTAAAACTCCCAGGACTTTAGAGGATGGAGCCATTAACATTAAAATGATATCAAGGGGTTATATGCGGGTAATCTTCTATGTCTAGCTCCAGGCCTGTGTTTGTACTGTTCAACAAAGGGAAGAATATACTGTATAAAGATTACTTTTGGGAGGATTTGATCTCAATAGCCAAGGTGGCTGGAGGTTATGGGAAGTTCTATACTTCCTCAATGTTCCTCAACATGGTCTTCTCCATAGGTTTTGCCTTACAGTCATCATCAGACCAATCCAGCATAACCAAGATGGAAGTTGTAGTCAAGGGCACTTTCTAGTTCACTTTGGTCTGTAACTGAAATAGGAATTTACTATCATGCTTTGTTTTTCTGGAGTCTCTGACACACCTTCCTCATTCTGAGATATCTCATTGGCTCGAGTTGGGATTGATGGACACTACAATCTGTACCTAGAAGCTGCTGGATTGAGGAAGGCTAGGAAGATACATTTTTACACATCCCCTTACTTCATTTTGTACCTCTGTTTTTGAGTTTATACAAATGATTCCCATATCCCCAGAGGACAAATGTCTGGCCTTATTGTGAAACGATAGATAATAGCAAATCTTATTGACAGGAATGACTTCCAATGGAAGCATGTATAGAATTGCAGTGGAGAATCTAGAAAATGCCTAGAGAGTACACCTCTAGGATTTCTAGATCCCCCAGCATGATTCTGTGGTCAGTCTCTACCAGAAGCATACCATGTAGTAATGCTGGGTGGACTAGAAAATGCCTAGAGAAAACACCTCTCTAGCATTTCTTGATCCTCCAGTGTATCAACATCCAGCAAAAGCATAACATAGAATTGCTCTGGAGGACTTAGAAAATGCCTAGAGAGAACACATGTTTTCAGAAGTGGGTAAGTGAAATCACAAGTACTAGTCCCATAGATATGAGGTCCTACTGAAAAACTGCCAGTGGTCTTTAACACCCCTTCTACACTGCCTTATAATCCAGATTATAGAAGTAGATAATCCATATCTGCTTTCAACTAGATTATCTGAGTCTACACTGCCATATAATCCAGTTCAAAGCAGATAATCAGGATTTTATACGGCAGTGTAGAAGGGACATAGGCCAAACATATATTATCAAACTTCAAATCATAGCAGTACAACAGTTCAGCATCTAAGTAGCTTCCTAGTTTCAGCATTGGCACAATTCAGAAGATGCATGGTCTTATCTACAACCTTGGTGGATTTTGTTTCCAGTTGGTGGGCTTGGTAATAAAAAACAAGAGCAGACTTTTTCTGAGATTTCAATGCCATATTTATTTCACTGTAAAAAGTATTTATGTAATATGCTTCCTTGTCTTTCCATCATGTAGCAAACTGCGCAGTCCTTCTGTGATATTTAACCTCATGTTTTCAGAGATGTACAGATATATTGATCAAAGTATTAAATTAATAAAGACATGTTCAGTGAAAAAATGGCCTTGTGTTTGTTTACTTGCTTGAAAGTATAATGCCAATGTCACTGCACCTTAAGGTGTGGAGCCCCCGGTGGCACAATGGGTTAAACCCTTGTGACAGGTTTGTATCCAGGAGAGCGTGGATGAGCTCCCTCTGGCAGCTCCAGCTCCCATGCAGGGACATGAGAAAACTCTCCCACAAGGATGGTAAAACATCAAAACATCTGGACGTCACCTGGGCAACATCCTTGCAGATGGCCAATTCTCTCACATCAGAAGCAACTTGCAGTTTCTCAAGTTGCACCTGACATGAAAAAAGCACCTTAAGATTAGAAGGAAAAGGCAGTCCCCCAGTCTAAAGTTTCAGTTAAAGGAATGAATTATGGATATATGAGAAATCTGTTCCAGTGGATTTCTGCCATAGATCTGAATTGAACAGACTGGACTGGGACATATTTTGCATCCTGAAAACGGCACATTGTTGAAGGCCACATTAAATACATGGAAAGTATTCACAGAAAAATGTACATATTTCAAACCAGAGCTAAAAAAGAGATTTTTGTGGACTCTACAGTTCCATAGCTAATAAAATCCAAGCTATAGGGATGCATGCAAGGAATGTGTATGACTTGCAAAATGTATGCCTAAACAACAATCCCACTCCCTAATTTATTGATTTCATTCCATGATGATCAACAGCAAACAAAACCGAAGTGCAGATAGGCAGGGAAGATGGGAAAGGAGAAGCTATCAGATCCGCATACGGAGCTCCCTTGGCATCCACTGGGATTTGGTTCCAGGACTCCAATGAATATCAAAATATGTGGATGCTCAAATTCCATGATATACAGTGGGAATAATAGGACAACATCTAGGTTTACTTTTGGGATTTTAAAAAATATTTTCAACCTGTGGATGGTTGAATCCATGGACCCCTAATCTATGGATATGGAGGGACAACTGTACTGTCAATCCATATGCTATCAGCTGTGGGGTAAGCAAAAACAAAGGAAGCTAATTAAATGGGAATTAGAATTTCTGTGTTGTTCCATTGAGGAATGTGCTATGTTTGACTCCCATTGATACCAGTGGGATTCTGAGGCTGCAAGGAGCCAATCTGAACTAGAAATTCAAGAAAGCAACTGACAGATCAATTCAGTTGGAGAACAGAAATATCCTCCACAGATGGTGGGTTCTTCTTCCCTGGAGGCATTAAAGCAACTTCTTCCAGAAGTTGTTCATAAAATCACATTGAATGACCTGGAGATTTCTAGAGAGGTGTTCTTTCTAAAACTCTCTAGATCAATGGTTCTCAACCTGTGGATTCCCAGATATTTTGGTCTTCAACTCCCAGAAATCTTTATGGCTGGTAAACTGGCTGGGATTTCTGGGAGTTGTAGGCCAAGACACCTGAGGACCCACAGGTTGAGAACCACTGCTCTAGGTCCTCCACCATGATCCTATGGTAAACTTCTGGCAAAGATTGACCATATAATTGCATTGGAAGATCTAGAATTTCCTGGAGAGCACATTTTCATCAAATCTGCAAAGAATAAAATCTGCAAAAAATCTGCTGGAAGTTCATAATGGAATTGCACAGGAGGACCCAGAGATTGCTAGAATGAAACTTTTAATCAAATCTGCAAAAGTCAAGCCTGTAAATGTGGAGAGTGGATTGCATTAAATGTATTGTTGAAGGCTTTCACAGCTGGAATCACTGAGGTGTTGTGTGCTTTCTGGGCTGCATGGCTGTGTTCTAGCAGCATTTTCTCCTGATGTTTCACCTACATCTGTGGCTGGCATCATCAGTGGATCATGTAAAGTTACAGAAGTCCTCATCTCTTTTTCATGTGTTTTGTATGGCGTGGCCCACCTTAGAAATAGCAATTAATTTATTCATGTATTGGATTTTCCCAATTTACACAAAAGTTAAAATATG